CAGGCACCCGCGACCATGCGTGGCTCATTTTTGTATTTTTGGTAGAGACGGGGTTTTACCATGTTGGCCAGGCTGGTCTCAAACTCACGACCTCAGGTGATCCGCCCACCTCAACCTCCCACAGTGCTAGGATTATAGGTGTGAGCCACCACACTCGGCCTATACCTCTTCTTTCTTTCCCTCGTCTGATTGTCCTAGCTGGTACCTCCACAACACTGCATAACAGTGGGGATAGTAAATGTCCTTGTTCTGTTCTTGAATTTAATAGAAATGCTTCTGGTGGTTCCTAATTAAGCTTGACACTAGTTTTGTAGTTGAGAAAGTTATATTTTGATGATATTGAAGAATTATCCATCTACCTTATTTTGTAGAGAAGTTTTATTAAGAATGTGTATTGGGTTAGGTGTTGTTGGTTTAAGTGCCTCCTGAGTATGGCAGTAGGAAATACACAGCTATACCCATGGAGTATATTTGTAAAAAAAAAAAAAAAAAAGAAAAGAAAAAGAAAGAAAATTAAATATGACCTTGAATCTAATGAAATGAAATCTGTAGATCATTGGTTCCCAACTAAGGGTGCTTTTGCCCCCTCAGAGGACTTTTGCCAGTGTCTGGAGACATTACTGTGTTTGTCACAATTGACGGAGAAAGCGCTAATGGCATTTAGTGAGTAGAGGCCAGCGATGTTGCTGGACAACCTGCAGTGCCCCAGAAAGCTGTCACAGTGAAGAATTACCTAGCCCCAAATGTCAGGAATGCAGAAGCTGAGAAACTTTTTTCTAGATCTCACTTCCAGTTCACAAGAAACATGAAGGACACAGGGACATGATAAACGACATCACCAGAAAGTCCTCAGTGTAGTCCATGTGGTGAGAGATTCTGCAAGACAGATGGCCTGATATCTGCAACAGATACATGCATGAGGGGTGACGGGAAAGAAAGGAGAGATATTATAGATTAAAAGAGACTTAAGAGACTTACCAACCAAATATGAAATGTACATCTCATTTGGATCCTAATTTGAATAAGACATGTCTGCAAAAATCAAGCAACTTTAAGTTAGGAGACTACATGAAACAAGATTAGCAAAATGCCAACAATCAGTTATTGAAACTGGATGGTACAGATTCATCACATTTTTATTTATAATTTTGCCTTTGTTTAACGATTTCCATAATCAGAAATTTAAAAATGAATATTGATTTTTTTAGATTTAGTCTCAGCAACACCAGCGAAAATATGCCTTTTCTCTTCCAATCCTTTCAAATGGTGACTCATAATAATGAAGCTTCTAATACTGAACTGTCTGTATTCCTAGAATAAGTCTCCCCTAAAAGAATGAGCACATGCTGGTGGTGCACAAATTAAAGTTTATAGACTGTGTTCCTAGAAGCTTTAAGTGCCTAAAATTTTTATGCAAAGATGATTGTCAATTGTCAGAATTATATATTCTGCATAAAATAGAGAATTAAATGGAATTCCACCAATTCCATCCAATGTGAAATGCTAGGCAGCTTATTGTAGTCAATAAATACTTTATTGTAGAAAGTTTAAATTGTAACAGTAGCCTTCCATGATTCAAATTTTATAAAAATATATGTATTTTTAAATACTGGAAAATAAACATCAAAATAATAATAATGGTTATATCTAGTGAAAAGGCTATGATTGATTTTTATTTTCTTTTTTTTTTTCTCCTGTATATTTCTAATTTTCTAGAGTGAATTTTTGAAATCAGGAAAAAAGTTATTTACAAAATTAAAGCAGTTCACCGATCACCCAAATCTTGGTTTCTGATACCTTTTTCCAATAGAAAGAACTAGAGAAATTATCAGTCTAGTCTAGGACTGGTGGGGAATATGCAAGGTGATCTTGGAGCGTCTCATAGGACCAGCAAGTAAGGAAGTGCTTAAGAAACAAAACTCGGGGTGTAGCAGAAGGACATGGGAGCCAACCACAGAGGCCCAGGGGGCAAGGCTGGAGGAGTTTGAGCAACAAAATAAATAGTGCAATACAGAATTATACCCCAAAGTATAAAATACCCATGTGTCCATACTGATGTACATAAACGGTTGAATAAATAGGTGGGTGAGAATCGACACATCCTGTGCAGAAGAATTCCACGTGATTGACGTAGATACCCCTCCCTCGAGGAGGCGGGTGATCATCCCAGCTTTTAAGTGTGGGCTGCACACAGGGACCACCTTCCCAGTGGTACGCTATGGAAACAGGGTTGAGAAAGAGGAGCTTGTCCCTGGAGAAACCTGAGCTCAGCCAGGGGAGGAATGTCAGGGGCAAGTTCTCCTGAGAGTGGGATGTCGGGAGGACGGCCCTTTTCCTTTGTGGCCTTTCTCCCAAGAACTCATCAGCTTAGTCTAACTGTGAAAAAAAACAGCAGACAGCCCCAACTTGAGGGACATTTACAAAATACCTGACCCATGTTCCTCAGATCTGTCAAGGGCATTAAAAACAAGGCAAGGTAGCCAGACTTGGTGGCTCAACGCCTGTAATCCCAGCACTTTGGGAGGCCGAGGCAGGCGGATCATCTGAGGTCAGGAGTTAGAAAGCAGCCTGGCTAACATGACGAAACCCCGTCTCTACTAAAAACGCAAAAATTAGCCAGGCGTGGTGGCGCACGCCTGTAATCCCAGCTACTCCGGAGGCTGAAGCAGGAGAATCGCTTGAACCTGGGAGGCGGAGGTTGCAGTTTGCCGAGACCACACCACCGCACTGCAGCCTGGGCGCCAGAGTGAAAATGCATCTCAAAAGAGACAAGGCAAGTAGGAGAAATAATTGCAGTCTAGAAGATCCTAAGGAGTCGTGAGGACTAAAAGCCTTGTTGTGTCCTGGATGGGGTCGTGGAACAGAAACAGGATGCTAAGTACGAACCAGGGAAATCCAAATAAAGTGTGGACTTCAGTTAATAATGATGTAAGGAACATTGGCTCCTGATTTGTGACAGATGTACCCCAGGAATGTAACATGTTAACAGTAAGGGAAATAACTTTTCTATGTATCTATATCTATATCTGTAACTATTCTAAAATGAGAAGCTTTTTTTTTTTTTTTTTTTAAGGAAAACAGTAGACAGTTCTCTCTTATTTTTAAAAGGTTGGAATAACATTAGAGATGTTCTATAGGATACATTTGCGATTTCTGGTGTTTACTTTCTGACCCAGTTTTCGCAAAAGTATGAAATTCTTGTTGCATATATCTGACTTGTCATTGGGGGATCATTCCGGATAAAGAATTTTCGGGTGAGGCCTCAGGACCACAGTCTGAATGTAAGTTAGGAGGCAGGTATCTGAAGAGCCAGCATTTCGTGTCTGTTTCCCTTTAGCATAACATAAAAATTAATGTATGAGAGCCCGACATGTAAACGCACCTTGGTAGAGGCACTAGGTGGAAGGGAGTGGGCATCTCTTGGCTGGCATCGAGCTGGGTGCCCAGCCACCATGGCGCAAGCAACTGATCCAGAGACATTTGAGCAGGGACTGTAACCACGCTATAGTACACACCACCACCGTGTGACAGTCACAGATACAGACACTGAGTTTAATGGTTTGGGGGTGGAAAAGCTGCCAGCTGCCCACCCTCTGATAAAGATGTTAGTGAAGATATTATAGATTTATTGAGGTTTGTCAAAAAGTGGCTGCATCTCAGATATAAATGGGCAAAGTAAAATGAATTTAGTTTGTTTGTTTTTTTTGTAGATAACCAAGAATAAAATGTAGTGATTTTATTTTATTATACCAGCTGTAATAAAGTCTTAAGGAGAATGCAGGCTGTAAAAGCTTAAAAGGGGAACAATTTTTTAAATATTTAAATAATGAAACGTCAAACATTTTACCACATTTTGAAGAAATAAAACATTGTAGATATAGCTAAAGCTTCAATTTCTTACTTCTTCAACCCTTCCTCCTGAGAGGTACCCCATTGTCTTGATAGTGATGTGTATCATTTCAGGTATTCGTGAATAACTTTTCTATGTACATAACGTATATGTATGTGTATATACATATATATGGATGTATTAAGCAATACATTCTGTTGGTTTTGGTGTTTCAACTATTTAAGTTAAAAGCCTAACAGGTCTTTTTATTTTTCTTTTCACTGATCATTATTGACATTGGTTCCTGGTGCTAAGTGTAGATCTCATGGGGGTTTTTTGGTTGTTTTTTTTTTAACCCCACTTTGTAACATTCCACTATATGAAAATAAACCAATTTGTTTTCATATCCTTGTGGAAGAACAGAGGCTGTGAGTTGTATCCTTTTTTTGCTGTTCATGGCTAGGATGATTCTTGTATGTGTTGCCTTGTGAACACCAGAATTGTGGGGCTATAGGTGTGTGCCACTTCAGCCTTAATAGATATTGCCAAATTGTTCTTCAGAATGCCATACATAAAATTTGTACGTTTCCATTTTTCCACATCTGTGAAAAATCTTACCAGATTTATCAGATTCCACATCTTATCAGACTTACTTATCTTTGCCAATCTGAGGGGTGTGATACATTTCCCTGATTGTTGTAATGAGATTGAACATCTTTTCATATAGTTGAGTTTATTAGAAGTTCTATCAAGAATTGCCTATTTGGGCCAGGTATGGTAGCTCATGCCTGTAATCCTAGCACTTAAGGAGTATGAGGTGGGAGGATCACTTGAGCCCAGGAGGCCAAGACTGCAGTGAGCCATGATCGCACCACTGCACTCAAGCCTGGGCAACAGAGCAAGACCCTGTCTCAAAAAAAAAAAAAAGAACTGCCTGTGTATTGCCTGTAAGTGGGCTGGTATTTCTTGAGATCAGAGGCCTTTGGCCTTGGACCTGATTCCTCAGGGTGTGTAAAAAAAGAATACTGCTGCATGCTATCACAAAGTTAAATTGGAGGTGGGTCAGAGTAAGAGTTTAGTCTTTGCCCGTATTTAATTGTTTTATTTACTCCTATGCCGTTTGATTTTCTTTGTGCCTCGTTATTGCTGACTGTGTCTCTTATTGGTGTAGGAAAGAGTTCAGGTAAGTCACCTGATTTGTTAGGTTTGTAATTAAGTATTTAACAAAAATGTCTTTGGAAAAGTGCATTTGCAGTTTCCTAAAAAGATGACAGTTTTACAGTACGACCCAGCAATTATGCTCCTAGGTATTTGCCCAAATGATGACAACTTTTATCCTTATAAAAACTTGCGCTTTCCTTATAAAAACCTGTGCTTGCTGGGAAGCTAACGCAGGAGGATTGCTTGAGCCCAGGAGTTTGAGACTGCAGTGAGCTCTGGTCGTGCCACTGGACTCCAACCTGGGCAACAGAGTGAGACCCAGTCTCAAAAGCAAAACAAAACAACTTTGCACATGAATGTTCATATCAGCAATTATTCGTATTTGCAAAAAACTGGAAGCAACCAAGATATTGTTCAGCAGGTGAGTGAACAAACTATGGTACATCCACACAGTGTAATATTATTCAGCAATAAGAGTGATCAACCCCTGACAGACATGGAAAAACCGTACATGCATATGCTGTGATTCCAATTATGTGATGTTCTGGGAAAGGCAAAACTATGGAGTCAATAAAAAAAAATCAGTGGTTGCCAGGGATTCAGGGGCAGGAAGGAAGGATGAAAAGGTGGAGTACAGGGCATTTTTAGGGCAGTGAAACTGTTCATATGACACTGGAATGGTGGATTCATGGCATTATACCTTTGTCAAAACACAGAATTGGCTGGGCATGGTGGCTCACACCTGTAATCTCAGCATTTTGGGAGGTGGGTAGATCACCTGAGTCCAGGAGTTCGAGACCAGCCTGGACGACATAGTGAAACCCCATCTCTATCAAAAATATAAAAATTAGTCAGGCATGGAAGTGCATGCCTGTAATCCCAGCTACTCAGGAGTCTGAGGCACGAGAATCACTTGAATCCAGGAGGCAGAGTTTGCAGTGAGCCAAGATTGCGACAGAGCAAGACTGCACTCCAGCCTGGGCAACAGAGCAAGACTCTGTCTCAAAAAACAAAAACAAAACAACCCACAGAATTATACAACACAAATAGTGGACCCTAATGTAAACTGTGGACTTTTGTTAATAAAAAATGTATCAATATAGATTCATCATTTATAACCAATATAGCACACTGGTATTAATAATGGGAGGAATTGGGAGCAGGGGAGGAGGGGGCATGTGAGGACTCAGTTCTATCTGACCAGTTTTTTTTGTAAGCCTAAAGACATCTAAAAAAGTATATTAATTTTTCTAAAAATCCTTCATTGTTAAATTCAGATTTTACCAAATGTACCCAACTATGTGGAACAATTGTTTTTTAATAGAAACTTTTTAAGATTATTTGTTTTATTTATGAAATCTAAATTGTGGAAGCTTTTTCAAGATGACTGCTTCCATTTTTTGTGGGTCTGTAAAGAGTGCAGAGTTCATGTTGAAAATCATTTCATTCCTTTTTGCTTTCTCAAGTAGAGTGGTATAAAGTATTAATTGTGTAAGTTTTTCTTTGTGTGTGTGATTAAATAATTTAGAGCAAATGTTTTGCATATTACTACATCAAAAATCTTTCCAAATATTGTAATAGCTAAAGTAATCTGGAATGTTTGTCTTGATTGTTACTCATTCTTTATAATATAAAACACTTTCTTTCATTGATTCCAGGACATCTATTCTAGGACCTCTCTGAAATCAGTGTACTTCTTAGAATGAGTAACGTCTTAGATTCAGTGAAATACGATATGTCTAATAAGGGTCCGGAAGAAGGGCTATAATGATTGTTAGAGAATCATGATAATTTTTCACTGGTGTTATGGGACCGTTCTTATTTTCCTTTGCCTGCCTGTCTTCCAGATGCTCTCTGTGTGGGTATGTGTGTAGCCATCCTCCTTCTTTGAAGTCTCATATGTGGAAACATGCAAGTGACCAAAATTACAACTACGAACAAGTAAACAAGGCTATTAACGACGCAATTTCACAAAGTGGCAGGTATTTCATCCTACCCCCTCCCTTTATTGCTATATGTAAATTAAAGCCAGGATTAAATCTACTAGTTCTACATTATAGCCTCCTCACGGTGTGGTGTGTTTGTTTTGTTTTTAAGAGTTCTGGGGAAATCCCCTGGAAAGACTCAATTAAAGAGCAGTGAAGAGAGTTCTGATCCCATCACCGGAAGTTCGGAAAATGCGGTGTCATCTGCAGAACTGATTTCCCAGACTCCCACTGAAGTTCTGGGTCCCAGCGAGAATGAAAAACTGAGCCCTACAAGTAATACCTCATATAGTTTAGAAAAAATCTCCAGTCTGGCCCCTCCTGGTATGGAGTACTGCGTTTTACTCTTCTGCTGTTGTATTTGTGGTTTTGAATCAACCAGCAAAGAAAACCTCTTGGATCATATGAAAGAGCACGAGGGTGAAATTGTAAACATCATCCTGAATAAGGACCACAACACAGCTCTAAACACAAATTAGGTGGAATAATGACTCGAACACGAAAGCAGTAGAAGAGGATTCCTTCACCACAGTTTCACATTTGCGCTGTCAAACAACTTCCTAGCCACAGAAGAAATCATTGATGTGATTTTCAAGAAAATGACAGATGTGACTTTGGAACCAAACTTGTAATAAAAGGAATTCCAAATGGACAAGCAGTAATGATATTTAAATATTTTGAGTGAGGGGGAGTGGGTCGAAGAGGAAGCAGAGGTGTAATCCTGTATTAACCCTCTGTCACCCCTTCGTAGTGTTGAGTGTATTTATTAAAGCTTATTAGAGGGTAGAAATGCAAGCAAAAGAATTAAGAAAGGGCTTTTCAGGAACTATTCTAAAAGTCATAAAAAGGTCACAGTCTTAAGCAGAGCTTAGTTTTCTTCTCACTTCTCAAATGCAGACTGTGAGGCCTCCAGTGAGAAATGGGAGGCATTTCTGGGAGGGGTTTTTTCAGTGTCACCAACAGAGTCAACAAGGAAACAATTAGAGGGCTTTGAAATGATCTACTGAAATCCCTAAATTGATAGAAATTCATCATACTCAATCTAGGACATGTTTTAAGGAGTAACCTTAAAAAAGAAAAGACCTCTCAATTCAAAACTAGATTGTAAATAGGCATTCAAGAAGTGTTGTCTTAAATTTACAATGAATTTCTTGTGAGCCGAGGACGAAACAGGTGAATTCCCACCAGACTCAAACCAGATCTCAGTTCATAGTAATGCTAAATCGTCTTGCGTGTCCTCAGAGGTTCTTTTCAGTGTCTGTTAGAATTTGGCATACTTTCTCCATAGTACATAGACCTTCTAATACTCTCTGCTAAATGAGACCACACTTGTTATCTGAAAGTGTAAAAGAAACAGTGTATGAAAATTTACATTTGATCATCCTGCACTGGAAATAGTTGAAACTATTTCCAAAAATCCCTTAGGGGATGAGGGGTGAAATTTAGAAGCTGCTGAAAATGAGTACTGCTGTGTTGAGCTTTTCCTTCCTGGGATATATTAATTTAGTTATATTTAGCAGAAGAGGAATATAACCAAATGTGACTAAAATTAATAGCAGAAATTCAGGTTGTTTGTAAAAATTTTAATAACAAATAGCATTTGGCAAGTCTATAGGATTCCTCCTATCTGGGAAATTCTATTTTGTTAAGAGTGTGACAGGACATATGGAAAACCAATGCAAAGTGCTTAAGCATTAAAACTTACCATCAAATAGATGTAGTCTTATTAATTACACATTTTGTGATTTAATTATTTCAAGGAGTGAAGAAAACAGGGTGTTTTTGTTTTTGTAGTTCTGATTACTCATTTATGCATTGTTTTGTTAAAGTAAATTCTGCCTACAAGTGAAAAGGTCGGTGCGCTCTTCCGTGCACCATCCTCATGGTGCTATTTCCGAATATCTGAATATTGATTTCTAACACCTGAGATGAGGCTGTGACCGATCAACTTGGAACACTGTGAAGGTTTTCGAATGGGATATGCTGTAGGCACATTTTAGGAAGAATTCTGTTCCCAAAGTCCAGGTATGATTGGATTAATATTTATAAAATTATTACTAGGAATTAAAGTGGGGCCAGGCATCTTGCAACATTTTCTGATTTGTTGGTTTTTTTTTTTCTTTCTAATCTCATTTTGGTGATATTTAAGCAAACATAAATGATTGTAACTTTGCAGCCTTTTTATTTAGGTAGCTTTAATTTATTTATGAAAGTTAATCCATTTCTGATACATGGTTTTTAAAAATATGAAATGGATTTATATATACTGTATTCCTCAAATCCACTGAATGTGGACTTATATGCATTTTCTCCTTTTTTCAGAATGGAAACATTTTAATTTCAAATTCAAATAAAACATTTAAAATGACTTCATTATTATTACCCATACTGTTGCCACTCATATTGTAAGTCAGTTTTTTCATTGCTGGTACAATGACTCAGTATTTCTTTATAAAAATATGTTGTTCTGAAAATCAACAACCTTAGAAGAATTTTGTTTTATAATATTTCCTTGGCTTTAGTTTTATGTCATTTTTAGAAAATAATAATAAGCATGCCCAAAATTTCAAAGATGTGAATTTTTAAATTACCTTTCTTTATTTCTTTAAACTAATTCCATTGATTGTTACTTAAATTTTCCACTTGGAATCATGGATTTAAAATTTCCCCACCTCATGGGGAAAAAACTAACCCAGAAGTTCAAAGCCTCTAAAGTTTCGTTTGATTCTGGCCTTAGAATTGTCCTTAAAAGCTTTCTCCTGGCCCATAGGAGGAAGCATATATCAAGGAGGTTCTTTACCTTCCCATTATCATTTTGTGGCAAGCCTTAAGTTAACAATGTGTCTACCAAGAACAATTGAGTTTTCTAAAAGTGATAATGAAGATTATGCAATTATAATTGTAGCAGAGATAGCTATTAAAATAATCAGTAGCCTGGGCACAGCAGCTCACACCTGTAATCCCAATACTTTAGAAGGCCAAGGCTGGAGGACTGCTTGAGTCCAGAAGTTTAAGACCAGCCTGGGCAACAAGGGGAGACCCCGTCTCTACAACAAATTAAAAATTAGCCAGGCATAGTTAGTTGGCATGTGCCTGTACCCCAGCTACTCAGGAGGCTAAGGTAGGAGGATCACTTGAGCCTGGGAGATAGAGGCTTCCAGTGAGCCGTGATGGCACCATTGCACTCCAACTGGGGTAACAGATGAGGTCCTGTTACCCACCACCGCCCCCGCCCCCCCGCAAAAAAAAAATTCAGTAGCAATTCCTTCATAGGAATAACATTTTATTTATTGGTATTAGACTTATTAGACAGAGCTCACAGTATTTGCTTTCTCTTCTGAACACTTAAAAAATTCTAAGATGTGATAGTGAAAATAGCTTTGAAAAGAAACTGCATATGGCAGAGGTGGGGAGGGGGGAAGATGATGCATTCTGATCATTATAAAGAATACTTTTCAGGGCTCTATCATTTTCTCCCTTTCTCTAATCATCCAGAATACGGCAGGTGTCCCAGTGTTCAACAGTATCATGCTAATATTCCATTTAATCGGTAGTCCAAGTTCTTTGGCCAGATAGTGCAATGTTGTGACACCAACCGAAGCCTTTGTTCTGGATCTTTCTTCTATTGAAGGTGGCTGCTGGTGGCTTCATAATTATTTTCTGTTTTTTTCTCACAAAGTAAATGGTGGGCATCCATGTTTACATTGCACCTTCCTGTGCTGTAATTGGCTTGACAAAGACAAGCAGGCTTCTCTGTTGAGACTTACTGTGTTTTTAGTTTTCATAGACACTTATTTAATCTTTTTAAATTGTACAGCAAGGTGCTCTAAGTAATATTCGATAAAATATATTTAATAGAAATTTGCGTTTGATATTCATGAACATGAATACATGTATTTTTTTAAGAAATAAGTATTGTGTAACACTATGGCATTGCTTCTATAGCCAAAGTATAAAAATTTCTGGAATACTGACATGTAAAGACTACAGTTAATTCTGACACTGTATCTTATTAAAATAGGATGATTTGCATTTTGTAAAATTATCCTGCACATCGAGCTGCATGCCTTAAAGCTGAAACTCTAGGACTGTGTTCATGGGAGAACAGTTCATCTGTTCAGAACAGTGAGGCAAGGTCTGTAGTGCTTCTTTAACTACCTTTGGAAATACTGTACAATGTTAGAATAATTTATTTTGCTTTACAGGAGTTTGTCATGTATTGACTTTAATATTGTATTTTGGTAATAAATTTTTTGTTAAAAAAACTTGCCTCCAAGTTTTATTAACCACGGGTTGTGTCCATTCTTTTCCTGGAAATGATGACTTTATTGCTTAGAAAGTTGTATTTAAATAATTAAAAGCTTCCCAAGGGTTAAACGAAGGTTTATGATGACTCTTGATAACTTGTTAATCTGTTGCTAACTAGCATTAGACTGTTACACGATAAATTGAATAAGCATTTAGCTTTTTAAATCATTTTTAAAATTCAGTCTAATTTTGAAGCTTTTTTCCTTGCTACCCAGTTCAGTTTCTCTTCCAAATGTGACACGCTTATATGCTTTCAATTCTGATATAGTCAAAGTGCTAATGACTAGTTCTGCTATTGACAATTAGCATTCCTTAGCGAAGGCCAAAAACTACAGTGATATGTTCACACCTTGATCATTTTGTAATGTATACAGATAGCTGTTGACATCATATTTGTTGCATTGACAAATGAAGCTAATATCATCTGACTATATTGTGGGTCTGGTTATCCATTTGTGCCCTAGAATCCTGAGCCACCTCAGTTGAAAGTGACCAAGACCAAATATTTCATCCTATGCTTCCCAGGGACAACGTAATCATATCCCCTGTCTTTGAAGAACCCAATCTGAAACTGTGTCACTAACCTCCAAATTAGAGAATCCTAGCATGGAAGCTCTAGAACATATGGTCCAGTGTGGCAGCCACTATAATATGATCTAAGTGTAAAATACATAGCAGTTGCAAAGACTTAGTACAAAAAGAAAGGAAATGTATTAACAGTATTTTATATTGATTACATGTTGGAATGATATTTTGGTTTAAATAAAATATTAAAATTAGTTTTACCCTTTTTTTAATGTAGCTACTAGACAATTTTAAATTATATGTGTGGCTTACATTATATTTCTTTTGGACAGTGCTGGTACAGAAGAGAGATTAGCAAACTAGGGCCCTCTCTTCAAAGCCAGCATGCCTCCTGTTTTGGCAAATAAAGTTTTATTGGCACACAGCCATGCTTGTGTGTGTACATATCATATACAGCTATTTTCAAGGTACAACAGCAGCACTGAGTCATTGTGACAGAGACTGTATGGCCCACAAAGCCTAATTCACCACCTATTTGATAGAAAAAGCCTTCTGACTAGACCTCTGAACTAGAACAATGGTATAATTTGTGCTCTAGAGCTACCAGAAAGAAAATGGCTTTTTACAAAGAAAGCTTTTTATAGTAGCGCTTTATAACTAAATTAGTTTGTTTCTTCCTTTGTAATTTTTATAGTCTACCTGTCTCAGATCTTAACTATATTTGATGACTTGAACCTATTTCATCTCTGATATTTAAAGCCAAACAGTTTGAAATAACAATGCATAATTAAATAATAAATTAAATCAAAATGCAGCTATAAAAAGTCTCACTTGCCTCCTGACAACTTTATGGTGTTGATGTCAGCCCCCACGGCTTCACCCTGCCAGTGGTGTGGGACTGCAGCACACCGCCTGCACATGTAACCATGGTGCAACGTAACCCCAGTGACTAATCCACTTGGCTGGGGTGACAAGTGAATTGAATAATCCAGGATATAAAGAAAAGAGTCTTAAATGCACCTCTTTATAATGAATAGCATGTGTGACTCCAAAGCCAGCTTCAAAGGTAGGGAGGAGGTGGTAGTTGGCTTTGGTCTAGAGCTGTTGATTAAACTGGCAGAGCTAAGAAAAAGTCCGTACTCTTCTACATAGATTTCTTCCAAGTCAATCAGTGAATATGTAAAATGAGAACATTTTTGGCCCTGTAAATTCATAGAGAAGTTACTAATTGGTGCCATACGATAGACTGACTTAGGTAGTGTGTTTTGATGTGTATCTTAGAATCCAAATCAGCGGCGCATAAGATGCTGAAACCATTTCCAGAGACCTATGGGTACAGCACAGTCCAGTTTGCATGCTGTGCTAGGGGACGATAGACCTCATTTTTCTAGTGGTACATTAATAAGTATACTATATCTAGTTTTATTTGAACTAAGTGTTTATGAGAATATGACAGCTTTGGTTTCTTTAATCTCCTGGGTTTTTTTTTTTTTTCCAATAATGGGTAATCAGTTTAAATTGTTTGCCTTACCAAAGTAGATTATGTAGGTAAGAAGGTTTTCTTTTGAATTAAAAAGTTTAATGTCAGGCATCTAATATAAATTCTTACTGCCATATAACAAAATTGTGTCACATGTTGGTGGCTTTTTGCTCCCTAAGTCAACCAGATTTACACCAGTCGTGTTACTTAATCCAGATAGAAAAGGTGTCATTCTGTAATAATTTGTACAGATCTATATAAGACAGGTACTTCTACAACGCGGTGTTTGTTTTAAAAGGATTCTACATATTAGGTAAATGTAGAAAAAACATCTAAAAACATCTGTTAAAAAACTGTCACCAGATGCAGTGGCTCCCACCTGTAATCCCAGCACTTTGGGAGGCTGAGGCGGGCAGATCACTTGAGGTCAAGAGTTCAAGACCAGCCTGGCCAACGTGGTGAAACCGTATCTCTACTAAAAATACAAAAATTAGCCGCTTGTAGTGGCACACGCCTATAGTCCCAGCTACTTGGGAGGCTGAGCCTGGAGGACTGCTTGAACCTGGGAGGCGGTGGTTGCAGTGAGCCAAGATCGTGCTGCTGCACTCCAGCCTGGGCAACAAAGCGAAACTCCGTCTAAAAAAAAAAGAAAAAAAGAAAATATTTGCACAAATCAGAAAATCATGGATCCTTAGCCATGAGCTCAGACCCAACTGTTTCACCTTTCTGATTTATCAGCTTTGCACTTTGGTAAAAGGAAAAACAAAAAGAATATTTATAATTACCCATGTTATTACCATGGATTGATCAGTAATAATGAAGTATAGTTTTAAAATGAAAGTGTGTTATCTGAAATGTATACACAATGGAAAGCTGGACCTGAACAGACGCTCAACAAAATAAAACATTCATTTTTCAGGATTTTTATTAGCACCTACTATTGATATTTAAAGGCTTATTGTCACAACTATGCACATCTCCAATTTTTTTTCCTACTTGTCATCTCATGCGTATTTCAGAAATAATGTGGCTGTGTTTTACTGAAATAGGCACGTCAATCCACATCTTGTTCTTTTTGTTTATATCTGCAGTCCCATTTAAATTCAGTATTTCCCACCACAAACGGTGTTAGAAAATTCTATTTCGGGCTTATGAGAAAAAGTACAGCAGGATATGGTTCAAAGCTTAAGCTGTATTTCTGCTCTTCCAGAGCTAGCATTCCACAAAAAATAGTTATGCTGAAATAAACAGTGGTAGGAAACCAGTGGTTTCAAGGCTATCTGCACTTTCTAAAACCCTTCTCCATGTGAAGCCTGAGAACACAGTTGGTGCAGCTGTGCCTCCCTGGAATGGTGATATTGGAGTCCACCAGTTTCACCGCAGAGGTGAAAAACTCTAACATGAAGCTCTTCGGCATTTGGGCCCCCCTGGAGCAACCCTGTGCTCAGCCTGCAAATGCAGACAAAAGCTCCAGTGTACTGTCTGACAGTTGTTTTTTAAAGTTCCAGGGTACATGTGCAGGATGTGCAGGCTTGTTACATAGGTAAACATGTGCCATGGTGGTTTGCTGCACCTATCAACCCATCACCTAGGTATTAAGCCCTGCATGCATTAGCTATTTATCCTCATGCTTTCCCTCCCCCCATCCCACCCCCAACAGGCCCCAGTGTGTGTTGTTCCCCTCCCTGTGTCTATGTGTTCTCACTGATCAGCCCCCACTTATAAGTGAGAACATGTGGTGTTTGGTTTTCTGTTCCCGCGCTAGTTTGCTGAGGATTATGGCTTCCAGTTTCATCCATGTCCCTGCAAAGGACATAATCTCATTCTTCTTTATGTCTGTATAGTATTCCATGGTGTATACGTACCACATTTTCTTTATTCAGTCTATCATTGATGGGCATTTGGGTGGATTTCATGTCTTCGCTATTGTGAATAATTCTGCAATGAACATATGCGTGCATGTATCTTTGTAATAGAATGATTTACATTCCATTGGGTATATACCCAGTAATGGGACTGCTGCATCAAACGGTATTTCTGGTTCCAGATCTTTGAGGAATCACCGGGCGTGGTAGCACACACCTCTAATCCCAGCTACTCGGAAGGCTGAGGCAGGAGATCATTTGAACCCGGGAGGCGGAGATTGCAGTGAGCCAAGATCGCGCCATTGTACTCCAGCCTGGGCAACAAGAGCAAAACTCCATCTCAAAAAATAAAAAATTTAAAAGTATACCTGCAAACCAGTCCAAATGCTAGCCTCTTCACGTCAGGTGCCATCCTGCAGGCCCAGGGCATAGCTTACTAGTTCTATCAAGTGGCCTCGTGATCAGGCAGGAAAACAGCAAAAGTGGCAAAAATAAAACCAAATCAGCACTTGTCTTTAACCATAATCCACTGATGAAACTTACTCTTGAAAGATAAAGTGGAACAAGGCACGGTGCAGTGGCTCATGCCTGTAATCCCAGCACTCTGGGAGGCCGAGGCGGGTGGATCATTTGAGGTCAGGAGTTTGAGACCAGTCTGGCTGACATGGTGAAACCCCATCCCTACTAAAAATACAAAAATTAGCCAGCATGTTGGTGGGGACCTGTAATCCCAGCAACTTGGGAGGCTGAGGCAGGAGAATTGTTTAAACTCAGGAGGCAGAGGTTGCAGTCAGCCGAGGTTGCACCACTGCACTCCAGCCTGGGCGATACAGTGAGTGTGATTCTGTCTCAACAACAACAAAAAAAGTGGAACAAGAGCTTCATAGCCATATTCCTAACTAGGTTATTCCTTACAAAACTAACAAGAATAAGTATGGACATGAGATACAAAGGGCATGATCGCTAATTAAAACCCTAAAATAGTAACGCCTATCTACCGTAAACAGGCAAGCCAGCTGCACCTATACATTGTATTAAATACCTTAAGAGTTTTTGAAATTCAAGACATCAGTGGCTCACTGTAATCCCAGCATTTTGGGAGGCAAAGGCAGGAGGATTGCTTGAGGCCTGGAGTTTGATACCAGCCTAGGCAACATGATGAAACTCCATCTCTACAAAAATAAAAATAAAAAAATTAGCCTGGTGTAGTCCCAGTTACTCGGGAGGCTGAGGTGGGAGGAATCACTTGAGCCTGTAGCAAACTGTGATTGCACCACTGCACAACACCCTGGGTGATAGAGCAAGATGAAAAGAAAGAGAGAGAGAGGAAAGGAAAGGAGGAAGGAAGGAGGGAGAGAAAGGACGGAAGGGAGGGAGGGAAGGGGAAGGGAAAGAGAAAGGAAAGAAAAAGAAAAAGAAAAGAAAGAAAGGAAGGAAGGAAAAGAAAGAAAAAAGAGAAAGGAGAGAAGGAAAGGGAGGGAAGGAGGAAGAAAGAAAAAGCAAGAAAGAGAAGGAAGGGAGGGGAGGAAGGAGGAAGGGGAGGGAGGGAGGATGGGAGGATGGGAGGGAGGGAGGGTGGGAGGGAGGAAAGGAAGGAAGGAGAGAGAGAAAGGGAGGGAGGGAGGGAGGGACTAATGGTGTGCCTGAAACAATACACATCAACCTTAACCTTCAAAAGAATGTACTTTTCACATGGGTAATGGCAGGTGCTGCCAGTTGTTCCTCAACATCCATTCTTCCATGATCACAGAATTTTTAGCTGGGCACAAAGCTGCCCAGGTAGGCTGTATTTCCCAGGCTTCCTTGTAACTACATGAAGTCATGTGACCAAGTTATAGTTCATGGGATATGATTAGTGATATATGAAAGTTCTGAAGAGATCACACCAGGCACAGTGTCTCATGCCTGTAATCCCAGTACTTTGCGAGGCCAAGGAGGGAGAATCACTTGAGGCCAGGAGTTCCAGACCAGCCTGGGCAACATGGTGAAACCCCATCTCTACAAAAAAAATACAAAAATCAGCCGGGTGTGGTGACACACGCCTGTAGTCCTGTTACAGTAGGCAAACAGCTAGACACGAGGAGGAGGGGAAGCCCCTAGAAAAGGAAGGTCTGGGAAACCTCATGCCCAGGGACCACCCAAAATTTGCAAATTATTGACATCTCTAATGCTGGAGGGGGTGTGCAATGAGACCAGTGTGAGCAAGGAGGCGGGGAAATACCTATGCAGAAAGGGACACCCCTTAAGACTCCTGGTAAATCACCCACTCTTCAGCAAACCTCTCAGAATGTTGCTAGCTGTGTGCTGTTGAGGGAAAGATGGCAAAGGAGAAATTCCTAAGATACCAGGTACAATAAATACAGACCTGACCTCTATACAACCCTCCTGTGGTGGCGGCAATGAGCAATGCAGCCATTTGGTAGAGTCTGCACCCAACACCAGCCACACATGCCCACCAAATAGTAGTAAGAGAGGGTCCCATGAGCCTGGGAGGGAACGAAGCAGTGATAAAGGCAAGGACTTAAGGCAGAAGCAGGAAAACTGGACAAAGAAAAAGGGCAGGAACTTAAGACAGACGCGGGAACTTCCAGAAAAAAATCGGACATCATTAAAACCCACCACAGAACCCTTGGAGCGGCTGCTGGCTCGTTCTGTCTCCGCAGCTGGCTCTGCCTCATCTTTCAAAGTATTCTGTCTCTCTAAATAAACTCTCTGCTCTCTGTTTTCCTTCAATCAATTCTCTCTTTTTTGGCTAAACTGTCTCTTGGCCGAATTCCTTCTCCCAAGGAAGACTAAGAACTGAGGACTCTGCCTTCCAGGTAACACCCCCAAGTACTCAGGAGGCTGAGGTGGGAGGATTGCTTAAGCCCAGAAGGTCGAGGCTGCAATGAGCTATAATTGCACCACTGCACTCCAGCCTTGGCAACAGAGTGAGATACGATCTCTAAAAATAAAAATTAAAAATATTTTTTTTAAAAAAGAGATGAAATGAATCTAGGATCACAGAGTTCAAAGCTGGCTGAGAAAATATACCAGTTGTCCTTGAAACATCCACTGTATTTGATGGCTGTCTTTTCTCTAAACATATTGTAATGCAAATATAAAATTGCTTTGTTTCATAAAACGATAGAATACATCAGCTGAAGTTACCACCAAAAGAAATGAAAGAAACTTCTGGGTGTGCCCTTAAAATGAAGGGAAGTTCCACCTCCCTTCTTTCTCTGTGCTGCCACCTGTTATGTAAATGTTATGATCACTAACTATGAGAACAAGCACAGGAGAGAACTAAAACTCAACAACAAAACCCAATTCAAAAACGGGCAAAGGGCTTGAATATACATTTCTCTAAAGAAGATCTACAAATGGCCAAAGAGTACATGGAAGGATGCTCAACATCACTCATCATTAAGGAAATGGAAGTCAAAACTGCAATGAGATACTACCTTATGTCTATCAGGATGACTATCAAAAATTTAAAAAGCAGAAGATAATAAAGTGTTGGTAAAGATGTGGAGACACTGGTACCCTTGTGCACCACTGGTGGGAATGTAAAATAGTACAATCACTGTGGAAACAGTACGGTGGTCTAATGCGCATAGAGTTTCAGTCTTATAAGATGAAGAGTTTTGGAGGTATATGGTGGTGATGGTCACACAACATTATGAATGTAATACCACGGAACTGTACATATAGAAATAGTTAAAATCAGCCAGGCACAGCAGCAATCCCAGCACTTTGGGAGGCCAAGGCGGGCAGATCACTTAAGGTCAGGAGTTTGAGACCAGCCTGGCCAACATGGTGAAACCCTGTCTCTACCTAAAATACAAAAATTAGCCAGCTGTGGTGGCAGGTGCCTGTAATCCCAGATACCTGGGAGGCTGAGGCACAAGAATGGCTTGAACCCAGGAGGTGGAGGCTTCAGTGAGCTGAGATCACAGCCTGAGCGACAGAGCAAGATAAGAAGGTAAATTTTATGTATTTTGCCACAAAAGAAAAATTTTTTAAAAAACCACAAGTGTGACATTTTTGTTGAAAGGACCCTGGGTCCCTGACATTGTGGAACCAGACTGCTTACATGACAGAAATAAACATCATTTCAGCCACTGTCTTTGGGTCAATACTGATCCCTCAGCTCTTATTTCCAGTCTGTCCCACCATTTACATATCGAGAAATACATTAAAGGGAAAAGTAAACCACTAGGATTCTGCAAGGATCCAACTACCAAAACCTAGTCTATATCAGTGTTTCCACCTTTATTTCATTACCATCCTCCTCAGCCCTTCAAGGCATTTTTCCCAATTAATTTCCCCACCCATGACACAGAAGTACTGTACTGTTTCTCTTTCTAGGTACTGTAAGTATATCTGTGCTTTTTCTTTTTTTGGAGGCGGGGGGACGGAGTCTCACTCTTGTCACTCAGGCGGGAGTACAGTGGCGTGATCTCAGGTTACCGCAACCTCCACCTCCAGATTTGAGAGACTCTCTTGCCTCAGCCTGCTGAGTAGCTGAGTCTACAGGCACGTGCCACCACACCTGGATAACTTTTGCAGTTTTAGTAGAGACGGGGTTTTGCCATGTTGGCCAGGGTGGTCTCTAACTCCTGACCACAGGTGATCTGCCAACCTCGGCCTCCCAAAGTGCTGGATTACAGGCATGAGCCACCACGCCAAGTCTGTATATCTGTGCTTTATACATTAAAATAGTAATTTTTTTCAACAACCAGGGACCAGTTTTTCCCCACTAGGGGGTTATATTGCCATAGGGAATTCATCCTTGTATTTAAATCAACTGGTTGAATGAAGACAGTTACAAGGAGAGCTATTTATTTCAGACCTCATTTCCTGGTATCTTGACTGAACATCCAAAAAGGTCAAGAGATTGTGAGGAGAAACCTGCAAGAGGAGGCTGGATTTGTTACCTCCATCACGTGGAGAATCACTAAAGTACAACCAAATCGACTCGATACTGCTAGACTCCATCTAGCTGTTGGGATAGTTTCCATCTCAGAGCTTTCGGACCTGGACAGTTGCAATCAAACCTGTGGACTTTATGCATAAGGAGTCCTTTGGGTTATCTCATCTCTGTCCACTGGTTGACTCAGGAAGGTTTGTGGGGAGCACTTGATAAGGGTGAGTGAAAATCCAGCCATAATTTAAGGCACGATAAAATGTCTGAATTCGAGAGTGTTAGAAACACATCCTTTTCTGGCTGAAAGTCCTGTGTACAACAAGGGAAAAAAAAAAAGTCCCAAGCCTAACAATACGCCTTGGCATCTATTAGTGGGAAAATTCTGCTGCTGAGATTTGTGGACACGTGTGTACATGCCTGTTTTGCAGGAAATGACATTACAGCAGTCCAAGGAAACAAACCAGAAGGACCAGCCAAGGACACTGTTTCTCGGACTAACATCTAGGGAATCAGCACATGTGGCAAAAGCTTATGTAATAAAACATCATCATCTGCTTTAATTGAATACCTTACCTATTTGTGTCCTCATTCAAAAATATACAAGTTATTCTAACCATGGAAATGAAAAAAAGTGTAGGTGGTAACCATGGAAATGAGGAAAGTACAGACAAGTAGAGGTAAGCAGAGAAGCAGGTGTTAAAGAAGAAAACGAGGCCAGACACAGTGACTCACCCCTGTGATATCAGCGCTGTGGGATGCCAGGGCAGGAGGATTGCTTGAGGCCAGGAGTTCGAGACCAACCTGGGCAACATACTGGAACCCCATCTCTATTAAAAATTGACCAGGTGCAGTGGCTCACACCTGTAATCCCAACACTTTGGTAGGCCAAGGTGGGTGGATCACCTGTGGTCAGGAGTTCGAGACCAACCTGGCCAACATGGTGAAACCCTGTCTCTACTAAAAATACAAAAAAGTTAGTGAGGTGTGGTGGTGCATGCCTATAATCCCAGCTACTTGGGAGGCCGAGGCAGGAGAATCACTTGAACTCAGGAGACAGAGGTTGCAGTGAGCCGACATCGCACCATTGCACTTGGTCTGATGACAAGAGTGCAATGGGTGACAAGAGCGAAACTCTGTCTCAAAAATAATAACAATAAAAGAAAATGAAACAAAAATTCCATATGTAAATACTTTGCTAACTTTACATTTTATAGAAATCCTTGGATTTGTGCACCTATGCTAATCTGTCTAAAAATGTCACTA